AGGAATGCATACACACTGTAGTTCGCTCCGTATTACAGGGTACCTTGTCAACAACACAGCATGCGTTACAAGATGGTCAAAAAGGGTTTGTTTTTGTGGGTCCCTCCCACCCCAAACCAGTGACGTGAGCCTAAGGGCGTTTGCTGGCTGCATCAGGAACCGTACAGGGAGATGCAGGATAGCAGAGACAAACTCTTAAAGCTTTTAAAGCTGTATTTGAATCTTAGCCTGGCCGCTGCACTAGTACACCATTTTGACTATTTTAACATACTGAAGTACTGTAGTGTCGTAATTCCCGCGCTGTTTTAGCCACCCACACTTTCACAGATCAGCAAACACTGACCACAAGTCTACCTATGCAGGTACTACCGTAAGAAACCACGCCATCTCCCCTCTCCCTGCTTTGAGATCTTCTCCTACTTACAAGATCCCCAGACCAGGCCGTCTGCTTGAATGCTTCGAACACACTCCTCTAGTTTGGCCATGTCTGTCTCATCATCCCAAGGTTTCACATCAAGCAAGATCGATGATTTGGCAACAACAGCTGGTTCTGGGGGAAGAATATCACCATTGAAAGACACGAAATTTTCAAAAGCTCATGAATATACTTGTAAGCTAGCTTTAAAAGAACAACTTTCCTAATTTCATCAACAAGAACCTCTCCTCACATAGCTGTGACAGGCCTCTTGTACCGGCATACACTTCAGAAGTATTTAAGCTATGCATATCCCGATGTTCAAGATGTAGATACACGTGTTCTTCAGAAACAGACTCATCAGAAAGCAGTGATTAAGAGGCTAACATTGTTTGTTACGTAGGAAGTCCTTCTCAGAGGATCTGAGCAGGAGCTTAATACCATGTAACAGTTCATGTTCCACAGAGGGAATACTGCAACTGCTACAGTTCCAAACAGTTCCAGACCAGTAGCTGTGGAGGGACTTGCGTATCGCAGCCGTTCCTCTAAACTTTTAAGAAAATCCTGGAGTTTTATACGGAAAGCTCAGTATCTGGTTAAGACAAACAAGAGTGTATTAAGCAGGGCAAAAACTGTGTTCAGGTTCCCACTCGCTATGGGAAAGGCTAAGCTCACAGGCAACTCAAGTGAAGCTAACTACTCCCACCTCATTCCAGTCAAGTTTATCTGTTACGGTTAGTTAAGTGTTTCTAGCCATCCTCTTCAAATGCAGGAAAATTAACCCAAACGTAAAAGATTGCTAAGTTCTTGGTAGACTTACTTTTGGACTTCTTTGATTCATACTGGGCCAGACGTTCTTCCCTCAGTTTCTTTGCTTCTTCACTTTCCTGAAAAGAAATCTGAAGTTATGGAAAAGCACCAAACCCCTGCATCTTTAAAGCATTACCAAATTGACTGGCATCTACTCAGACAAAACCAAATCATCACAACTGTCAGTCGAAAGATGGTGATTTTTTGTTTTATTCATCATGTAACCAGTCAAAGTTAAGTGGTAGACAGTTCACCGCATTGCAACACATTCCCTTCTGAGTTTTTACCTTCCGAGCTTTTCTGTTCTGCAAAGACACCTGAATTTGAGAATTCCGAGAGCAGGATCTGGTATCAAGGTCACAAACTGAAGTAATGTAAACTAGTTAAGGCAAAAATCTGCATACCTGGCTATTTCTAAAAAGCCCAAATATAATATAAAGAGGTCACAAGTACCTCCTCATCATCAGATCCAAAAAGATCAATGTCATCATCATCTTTGCTATCTGTGGCTGCACCTGTTGTGTCCTCAACATCAGCAGGACCATATTTCCCCAAAGCCTTCTTTACTCCTGGCAAGCTGAAAGAAAACAGTAGATATTAGGAACCTACTCAAATGTCCACACAAATACTGCCAATTTGTCAATGAACCTACAAGTGCATTCATAGTAAAAATGCTGTGCTAAAATAAATAAATATCTAATTCTACTACTTGAAAACAGAATCTCCCCGAACACAATCCTCAATACTCCTGACACGCCAGCTGAGACTACAGCAAATCCCATGTTCAAGATTGTCCATCTAAGCCAATGTGATCCTGCCCAGCACTGCTGCTCCACCTAAGTACACAGATGGAAAAGGCTTTCTTATTAGATACAAAGTAATAGTGACAGAAAACACACTACTGCAAGGTAACTAACTGATCCTGTGGCTTTAAAAGTTTCAGTGAACACTTTACTCTGAAAGCCAGCTCTCAACAGCATGTGAGGGACCAGAACCGCCTGAATTCATCTTCTCCTGTCGCTCGTACAGTTCTGTAGTCTTACAATAAGCTCGTAGTTTTCTGTCACTGTGAACAGAAGTTACAACTGTCATAAAACTAGCTTCAGTTTTCAGGAACTAGTAGTTGTTTCCACAGAGTCGACTTTGTGAAGCAACTTTACAACCTCGGTCCCCTTCAGCATTTTAAGAGCTTCAGAAATGGGCTGGTGAGTGAGCCACCAAACTTCACAAGAGTTCCCTCCAAACAGTACTGAGGCAGCGTAGCAATACTGACACTACCTATGCTGTACCTTTTTAGAGAGGCCTGCAGACTCCACAGATGTCAATACAGCACCTTTCATGAACACTAAAATCACTAAAAAAGAAAAAACATAACATTTGCTTTGATATTTCCCCTTCTTTATATGGGCTTCTGCATTGCAAATCATTGATTTTGCTTTATCTTCCAGGACTAAAAACCTGAACGAACTACTTCCCTTTTTATCATCTGCGTACTGCGCATTTACCTTTAAAGACTCCTGTAATACTTTCTAATCCGTGCTTGTGTTCCCTTTATGGGGTCGATTACCACTAAGTAATTTCCAGCTTTCAGCACAGTTATCTGCGTAAACGGCTGCCACAAAACTAAAATCTTTCTTACAAGCTTTAGCAGAAATCTCAGCGAATGAACAGAGACACAATCCAGTTGCCCAAAATTTAAGTGAGAAGTGCAATGTACTGATAGAAGAGGTCTGCTTTGCTTCTAGACCTGCTCCTGTTCCAACGGCAACACGAAAAGCCACGTGGCGCCCGTGAAAAACACTGGCTTGTTCAAACTCGAAGAAACAAATGCAACACTTCGTAGGCCAGTCTGCACATTCCAGCTTTGCAGTCTAACCATACCTTGCCTTCTGCTTTTCGTACGACTTGATATGATTGTACCACCGAAGAGCATGAAACAAGTCTGCCGGGGGCGGGGCAGCGATTGCTTCGAAGACGGCTATGTCAGCCTGGGAGGGGAGGAACCTGCGGAGAGCGACCCGCGGTTAGCCCCCG